AATCCTCCCCCATGATCCAATCACCTCCCACCAGGCCCCACCTCCAACATCGGGGATGACGTTTCAACATGAGATTTGGGTGGGACAAATATCCAAACCATATCAAGGGGCTCCTGTAGCAGGAAGCCTCCTAAGACAATTTCTGTCCTTGCAGGAAACACATGGTGACCCGATCTGCATCTGAGGACAAGGTGCTGTTGCCCTCAGGAGTCGGCCTGCGTGCAAAGACCCAAAAGGGGATGGATTCGGGGCAGAGAAGGCAGTGGAATTGGGGGAGGGGCCCACGTGGTGCTGTGGGAGCGTGAGGAGGGAGTGATGGAGAAAGTCTGTATTTTTAAGCTGATGTTTTCCAGAAATGAGCAGTTTATTTTAAACAGTGTTAAATATCCCTGGATCCCCTAGTGAAAGCGTTAGACCTTTCATCACTCGCCCTGCTGACGGAGGAAGCAAGACTCTCGATCTGGTGCTATCGTGTCTTAAACACTACTCTCTCTCTCTTTTTTTTTTTTTTTTTTTTTGAGACACAGTGTCTTGCTCTGTTGCCCAGGCTGGAGTACAGTGGTGTAATCTCTGCTCACTGCGACCTCTGCCTCCTCCTGGGTTCAAGCAATTCTCCTGTCTCAGCTTCCAGAGTAGCTGGGATTATAGGCACACACCATGACGCCCGGCTAATTTTTGCATTTTTAGTAGAGATGGGATTTTACCATGTTGGCCAGGCTGGTCTCAAACTCCTGACCTCAAGTGATCCTCCCACTTCGGCCTCCCAAAGTGCTGGGATTACAGGCATAAGCCACTGTGCCTGGCCTCCCTTTCTGAACTTTAAACAAAGACAAACCACATCTCCAGCTTCTAGGACTCTCAGGCAGGCAGTAGCATCTCACTAAAATTCAATTACTGCCTTTGTTTTTCTTGTATTTAGTTTTTATGGTTTATTGTATTTAGTTTTATGGTAAGTTGATTGTTTTGTTTAAGTAACGCTTATATAATATCTCCTATATGCAGGCACTGTTCTAAATGCTTTATAAATGTTGACTGATGTAATTCTCCCAAGGACCTATGAGGCAGGTACCGTGATCATTGTTATTCCCATATTACAGATGAGGCCCAGAAAGGTTAAGCAAACTGCCCAAGGCCACAAAACCTGTAAGTGGCAGAGCTGGGATCTGAACTGAGACCGGCCAGCTCCATAGTCTGTGTCTTAACCAGCATGGCACATACTCCGTGTCTATTTCATGTCAGTTATCTGCTGATGGTCATGATATAATATTTTTGAGACATGTTTATCGTAGTAAAAAATAGAAGGCAAGGTAAAGATCAATAGTAAGTGGATAATTAATAGAAGCACCAGTGAAAACCTCAAATGCAATAGGCCAGTGGCAGGAGTTCTAGAACGCTCCAGTGCAGCTGCGGGGATACAGCATGTGGACCGTGAAAGCTGAGTTGAGAGGATGGGAGGGGAAAGGTGTTGGAGGGGAGAAGTCTGCTCCGGCAGAGGCAGAGATGCATGACGAAGGCTGGGCTGCCAGGGAGATGATGAGTAATTCAGGGTAGTCGGCCAGTAATGTCAGGAAACCCATGCACTGGTACAGCACTTCACAGTCCATGAAGCACTACCACATCTGCTTTCTCACAGCCTCTTCTTCACTGCCAGGTGCAGTGAGCACTATTGTCCCCATTTCAGAGATGGTCACTGAGTTCAGAGAGTAAAAGAGCCAGAGAAGAGCTACTATTTGCTCCCAAGATCTTCTGGTTTCAAAGTCTGAGCTCTTTTCTCTACTCCACTGTGTCAGGGATCTTTGGTGGCAAGTGACAGAAATAGAATTCAATGTGATTGAGCAACATAGGTGGTTTTTGGCTCATAGAAATGAGAAGTCCACAGGGTGGACATCAGATATGGCTGGATCCAGGACCTCACATGATGCCATGGGGACTCCTGATTTGTATTTCTCAGTATGGATGCCATTTTCAAGGAGGCTGTCTCTACGAGGTGACAAAGATGGCTACAAGCTCTCAGAAGATACCAAAAAAAAGTGTCAGTTTTCTAGAGTTCTAGAAAAAAAAAAAAATCTCAGGACTGCTTTCACTGGCCTTGCCTGGGTTGACATCCATCCCTGATGCAATCATTGTGGTCAGACAGATGGGGTGTTTTGATTGGCCAAGCCTGAGTCAGGAGCCCACTTTGTGGAGCATGGGGTGGAGTCAGCCTCAGGCAAACCACTAGAGGCAGCTCAGATGGAGGAGCTCTTTGGGAAGAGACGCCGGGCAGGCAGAAGCAGCAGGTACCCGCTCCGCATCCCTAGGGCTCTGTGATGTAGGCAGAGGTAAGAAATTAAGAGGGATGAGGAGTTTTTTGTTTGTCTGTTTTTGTAAAGACAGGGTTTCACTCTTTCATTCAGGCTGGAGTGCAATAGTGCAATCATGGCTCACTGCAGCCTGGACCTCCTGCACTCAAGCGATCCTCATTCCTCAGCCTCCCGAATAGCTGAGACCACAGGTGTGTGCCACCCGGCTAACTTATTTTTACTTCTATTTTTATTTTTGGTAGAGACAAGGTCTTGCTATGTTGGTCAAGCTGGGGATGAGGAACCTTGAATCTGGGCAAAGGAGTTTGCACTCTGTTGTGCTGTGGTCAAGATAAAGCCATCAGGGAGTGACAGGGACAGAGCTATGTCAGGACTCGCACTGTGGCTGGGGTGATGGATGTGGACACAATAGTGAGGGGGCAGACACAGACTCCCCCTCCTGTGATCAGAGGCCACATCTTCAAAGTGCGAGAACGGGACCTCTGCAGGGGTTGGAACCCCACAAGATTCATATTCCTAAAAGCAGGTTGAAACAGCATCTACCCCAACATTATTTTATTTGAGTAGCAATGTTATTGCTTAGGATGATGCTGGAGTTAAATTTTTAAGTGTGCTTATCTATGGAAAATACATTAAAATATATATTAAAATAAACAACAGTGCACACAGTATACAAATATGGCCAAAATTTTGGAAATGAGATATTTTCACAACTCTTGGCTGGATCATTCTGAGACCCCTTCCATTTCTGATGCTCTACATTCTCCATCCATTACAGCTGTTGGTTGAATGTTTATGTGATGGGGGCCATCCCCAGGGTTTTATGCAAATCACCTCCTTGAATTCTCACAAGAAGCCTGGAAGCAGGCCTTGCTGTTTCCACTTTACAAGGCTCAGAGAGGGCAACGGACTGGCCCGGAGCCACACAGTTGGTCATCTGAACCTCCCTGGCTCCCCAGCCTGGGCCCTGACCCAGGGTTCTTTGGTGACTCTGTGAGGGACGTCAGAGGGAACTATGGATGGGGCCAGAGGAGGATCTTTGGGAACCCCGGCGCAGAGGAGGACGATTTTCCCCTTGTGGAGTCAGGCATAGTGTCTGGAGAAAGCCATGCCTATGACTTGGGTCCTGCAGGGGACATCTCTCTTAGGTTTAGCTTTAGCTCCCTTCTTGTCTGTGGGGGCTGGTCTGGGAGGGGCTCCTGAGTCTAGATAGGTGGACCGCTGCCCTCTGGTTGGCACTTTCTCAAACAGACACAGAGCTGGTGGGTGCAACAGACAAGTCCCAGGAGGAGCCTGGCATTGCAAGCTTGGTGGGTCATTCATCTGCCCAAGACAGAAAAGGCCACTCTTCCCAGATAACCTCACTCTGTTCCCCAAAGAGCTTCCTTCTCCATCCTGGCCCAAATTAGGAGGTCAAGTTTTCTCTGTTTGGCTGGGCCTGGATTTCCTAGCATGCTCCCCAGTGGGCTAATCTGGGGTTTGTAATGGAGTAAGAAGCCTGATTATTGGGCTAACCTTAAGTATTCAGCAGGGGTTAACTTTGTGGGTTAACTTTGGATTTATTATTCAGTAAGAAGCCAATTTATTGATGGCTGGGCACAGTGGCTCATGCCTGTAATTCCAGCACTTTGAGAGGCTGAGGCAGGTGTATCATCTGTGGCCAGGAGTTCGAGACCAGCCTGGTCCACATGGCAAAACTCTGTCTCTACTAAAAATGCAAAAATTAGCTGGGCGTGGTGGCGGCCACCTGTATTCCCAGCTACTTGGGAAGCTCAGGCAGGAGAATCGCTTGAACCTGGGAGGTAGAGGTTGCAGTGAGCCGAGATCGGGCCACTGCACTCCAGCCTGGGCAATAGAGTGAGACTTTGTCTAAAAAAAATAAAATAAAAAGGCCAATTTACTGAGCTATCAACATGGATGTTTACAGGAAGGAAGATCCAAAATTGCTCCTCAGAAGATCCCACTTTCCAAACTAGTTTTTTCTTCTTCTCTCCCTCTCTTCTTCTCATTTTCTCTCCCTCTTTCTTTGTTAGATAGATTCATACATAATTTAATTTCACACACAATGCTACATCAATAGGCTCAGCAAGGGCAAAATAGTCAGCAATCTCCTCACTCTTTAAATTCACCCTGTGCTGGGCATGGTGGCTCACACCTGTCATCCCAGCACTTTGAGAGGCCAAGGTAGGAGGATCACATGAGCCCAGGAGTTTGAGACCAGCCTGGGCAACATAGCAAGATACCATCCATACAAAAATGTGTTAAAAATTAGCCAGGCATGGTGGCACGTGCCTTTGGTCCCAGCTACTCGGGAGGCTGATGCAGGAGGATCGCTTGAGCCCAGGAGGTCGAGGCTGCAGTGAGCCGTGACTGTGCCATTGCCCTCCAGCCAAGGCAGCAGAACACGACCCCATCTCTAAAAATATTAAAATAAAATAATAAAACAAATTCACTCTGCATTTGTGATGTGATGTGGGGACAGGAAGAAGGTGGGAGAAGGAATTCTCAGGGTGAATCTGCCATTTCTAGGAGGTGGGAGTTCTTGGGGTCATCCATAGGCTCCGCGGGATCTTGCTTTTTTCTTAAGACAGTTCCAAGAATCGAGGGCAAGTCTGTCTGAGAAGAGACAGGATGAGGGGGAGGCTGGGGGAGCCCTGAGCCCCGCCTGGTTCACCGTCTGCTGTGCATCTCTTGCAGGCCTGTAGGAGTCAGCATGCTGCGTGGCTGGGCCGCCCCCTTGCTCCTGCTGCTGCTCCAGGGAGGTAAGTGGCTGCCCGTGGTCTGCGGGTGGGGAGGGCCCCCATCACAGAGCTGAGCTAGGGCCGGGCTGGCTTTGTGGGCTCAAAAACACGGCTAGAGTCCACAGATTCAGAACAGATGGCATCCGTGCCCTTGAGGCTGACACGAGTCCAGTAGCCGGCTCTCCACTAACCAGAATCCATCCACCAAAGAGCTCCACGAACCAGAAGCAGTAGACGTGAGTCTCACATGGCCCAGCCCGCGGGCTTATGTCTTCGGGTGTCACTAGGGGGATGACAGGCTTCATCCTTCATTTCCCCTGACCTCTGCCTTGGCTGGCTGTAACTCTCTGAGTGAGGAAGTTCTGCCTTCCATCTAACCTCGGTGTCTCCTTTTGTAATGACTCTCCTTGGAAATGTTTTTCAACAATTGCTGCGCCGGGTGTGGTGGCTCACACCGGGAATCCCAGCCCTTCGGGAGGCTGAGGAGGGTAGTCATTTGAACTCAGGATCTCAAGACCAGCCTGGGCAACATGGTGAAGCCCTATCTCTACAAAAGAAAAAAAAAAAATTAGCCAGGCATAGGAGCTCATGCTTGTAGTCTCAGCTTCTTGTGGGGCTGAGGCGGGAGGATTGCTTGAACCTGGGAGGTGGAGGTTGCAGTGAGTCAAGGTGACAATTGTACTCCAGCCTGGGCAACAGAGCGAGACCCTGTCTCAAAACAACAACCACAACAACAACAATAAACAAACAAAAAAATCGCTGGATTCTTAGCAGGCACTGGTGGTCCCTGGGCTGGGGACAGGAGGAAGAGCCAAAAGGAGACCGAATCTTGGTAGGCAGCCTGCGGAGGACCAGATATTGTGGTTAGAGGGGGCGATGTTAGAAAGCAGAGCTGGGAAGGTCAGGAGCCTGACTGAGAGGACACTGCTGAGAACTAAGAGATCCTGGAGGGCTTCTGGGAGGAGGGGGCCATGAGGAGGCAGGATCCAGCACAGACTTGTGTGGAGGCCAGCCTAGGGGCAGGGGAGGAACTCAACGGCTGCTCTGCTGACTCATGGGCATTTTTCTCTGGTTTTTACCAGAAGACCCAGGACCTCAAATAGCTCCTTCAGGAAACAGATGTGAAGCTTTGATTTTCCCTTTCTGAGTGGCAAGCATTACCGTCTTGGTTCTAAAAAGCCTTTGGGTCACCCATCATGGCTTCACATCTGGTGGGTGCAGATAGCAAGCCCTGGCTGCATGCAAAGCTCGGAGCGTCATCCCATTCCACTGTCCCAACAGTCCTGCAAGGCCCATGTTGTAATGACACCCAGATTTTGGTTGAGGAGGCTCAGAGAAGCTAAGAGACAGGTGCACGGCCACACCACGGGGCAGAGGCGGAGCTGGGATCAATTTGTTCTTGGAGTCAGTCTTAGTCTGTCTGTGCTGCTGTGACTGAATACGTGAGACTGGGTAATTTATAAATTATAGACATTTATTGCTTATAGTTCTGGAGGCTGGGAAGTCCAAGATCAAGGCACCAGCAGCAGCTTGGGTTCCGGTGAGGGCCCCATCTTTGCTTTTTTTTTTTTTTTTTTTTTTTTTTTTGTGGAGACTGAGTCTTGCTCTCTCACCCAGGCTGGAGTGCAATGGTGTAATCTTGGTTCACTGCAACCTCTGCCTCCTGGGTTCAAGCAATGCTGATGCCTCAGCCTTCAAGTGGCTGGGATTACAGGCACATGCCATGGCTAATTTTTGTATTTTTAGTAAAGATGGGGTTTCACCATGTTGGCCAGGCTGGTCTTGAACTCCTGACCTCAAATGATCCACCCACCTCTGCCTCCCAAAGCGCTGGGATTATAGGCATGAGCCACTGCACCTGGCCCCCATATTTGCCTTTAAGTTTCCACCTTGAACGCTGCAACCCCCAGAGGGGACGCACGCTGCATCCTCATGTGGCAGAAGTGCAAAAAGGGGCTGAATGTTGGGTTCCTCCAGCCCTCTTACAGGATCAATAATTCATTCGGGGGGGTCTGCCCCCATGACTTAATCATCTCCTAGAGTCCCCACCTTTTAATATGATCACATTGGCAACTGAGTTTCAGCATATGAATTTTGGGGGTGGACACAGACATTCAAACCGTAGCATGGTCTTCACCACTCTGTCCTGCTATCTGTTGAGTGATAGCCGTGTGCAGGCAGCGTGCAGGCACAGGCACCATCTCATCTCAACACCTCAACAGCCTCTAGGGCAAGCAATATCTCCAGCTTACACATGGGGAGGAGAAGCAGTTTTGACTCACGTGTTTACAGTCACAGAGCTGGGGACAGCACAGTCACTTTGTGCGTCTCTCACTGCCTCCTGCACGCTTTCATAACCCCAGACATGGGATGGCCCTGGGGCTCTCTGCCCTGTAGCTGGGGTACTGACCGGGCACTTTCCCACCCTCCCATCCCTGGTGCCACCTCCATGCCATTCGGGGGCTGCTGTTGCCTCCCCAAGTTTGGAAACAAGCTCTGTCCCTTGGTAGCTTTGAACCTGGCTAGGAATGGCAGCTCTTCTTCAAATTCCTAGCGCCCTGAGAAAGAACCATGAGGGTACAGACTCAGAGATGACACAGCTACTTAGAGGCTCTGTGTTGAGGTTTTGCCAAAATCAGTCCTGTTTTCTCCATCAAATGCTGGAACTAGCTCCTTTGCACCCCACTGACAAGTCCTGTGTGTCTCCCTGAGGAAAGCCCCCTCTAGAGCAAGATTTATTTCCATGACTCAGACCCCTTGGTAGCCACTGCCTGGAGAGCTGTGTTGAGAAGCATTCTGAGGTCACGCCTAGGGGAGAGAGTGCTGTGATCCATTAGCAATGTCTGCCATGTGTGCGGCTATGAAAAACTAGCACAGACTAGGTTTTTCCTTCCCTGGGTGAGTGTCTCAGCAGCCCAGACCAACAGAGACGAGAGATGTGGTCTAGTCTTGGAGCCTCAGTGTTCTCACCTCCACAGTGGACTAAAGGATGTTTCCAGACACAGTATTCTTTGCTCCGAATATAGGTTCTGTCCTCGACTGAGACCCAAGAAGGGAACCTACCACCACCATCACCTCACGGGTCTTCATTAGTCAAGGGAAAATAGGAAAAAGCCACCGAAAACGAACCCACTTATAAAGGGGAACAAGGCCAGGCATAACGGCTCAATCTTATAATCCCAGCACTTTGGGAGACCGAGGCAGGTGGATCGCTTGAGCTCCAGAGATTGAGACCAGCCTGGGCAACATGGTGAAACCCCGTCTCTACGAAAACACAAAAATTATCCAGGCATGGTGTCGCACAACGGTAGTCTCAGCTACTCAGGAAGCTGAAGTGGGAGGATTGCTTGAGCCCAGGAGGTGGAGGCTGCTGTGAGCTGAGATCACACCACTGCACTCCAGTCTGGACAACAGAGCAAGAGATTCTATCTCAAAAAAAGAGATGGGCAGTACAAGTTTCTAGTAAATAGCAGCAAAAAATAGTGGAAATGGCACTCAAATATACAAAACAAAACTACAAATTATTCCATTGATTTTGTCCGACATTTAACAAAATTTAGATGATGATCGCACCTCTGTTTTAGGACACAGTGAAACAATTAATGTTTGGGGAGCAGGATGGAAAGGTGTTAAATCTTCCAACAAAATTGCCTCATAGGGCAATATCTTGATGACTTCTTTGTGGCGGTGGCGGTGGCATTTTTGGCTGCAGGATCACGCAGACCTTTCTGCAAAAGTGTCTGAGGGCTTCTTAATTCTCTCACGATTTCCTGCTCCTTGAAGCACCTTCCTGAATCTCTGAGAGAGCGTGTCCTGTGGAGCCAAATTCTGTAGAGCCGAGGCCTCTTCCTTTCAGGGTTTTGGGACATTTTCAGTATAGCTGTCCTTGACTCCATGAGGTCCTGACCCTCTTGGGGTGTGTGGGTGTGCGCTGGCTGGGTTCCTACCACATCCGGGGCATTTAGGATATTGCCATTCTGAGTGGGAGCTTGGCCAGGAGGGACACAGACCTGGTGGCCAGGCGCAGGGCTCTGGGGGAGGGTGCTGAGCTGGGGACCAGCTAGTTTTATATTATTTGCCATCATGAGTGTCCTGTCTTCATAGCCAGCCTTGAAACACTGGTGCTCAAACAAGGAATTCCCAGGTAGCGAGGCCCCCTGGGTGCCAGGCTTACATCTTAGCAGCTCCTGAGTCCTCATATTTGTCCCGGCCTGGGGACCCCGGCACCCACTCTTCCTCCAGCCCTTGAGGGGGTGGAGAGGAAGCTCTGCAGTCCCAAGCCACCACCCACCAAGGCCTCTCTCCCACCTGACCCTCCAGGCTGGGGCTGCCCCGACCTCGTCTGCTACACCGATTACCTCCAGACGGTCATCTGCATCCTGGAGATGTGGAACCTCCACCCCAGCACGCTCACCCTTACCTGGTAAGTGGCCGGGCCTCGCCAGTCCCTGGGGATGCAACTCACGGTGCCTGCTCAGTGATTCCCCCAGGAGGACGCTATGCACTGAGGACCACTGTGCCCGCCTTTCAGACAACTACTCAGGGCTCACAGGACTTGAAAAGTCAGGAGACCGCAGGGTTGGTCTATCCACCAGCTTCAAAGGCCACTATCTCGCCCACACAGGTTGGCCATGGTTTTGAGACCCCGGGATGGCCGGTCTCCCGCATGATTTTTCAAGCACTTAGTAGGTGCCAGGCCCCCAGCTACATGCTTCGCATGAATGGTCACTCCCAACCCTCACAATGATTACTCCCATTTTACAGATGAGGACATTGAGGTTCAGAGAGGTTAAGCAACTTGCCCAAGGTCACAGAGCCTGTGAATGCTGGAGCTGGGATTCAAATTCAGACTTTCCAACTCCAAAGTCCGTGGGTCCGTTTTAGACCCTATGCAGCTCAGGATAAAGAAGAGCTTCCGTTATCCATCAGCTCATTCATTCATTCAAAACCATTTATAGGCCAGGTGCAGTGGCTCATGCTTCTAACCCCAGCACTTTGGGAGGCCAAGGAAGGAGGATAACTTGAGCCCAGGAGTTTGAGACCAGCCTGGGCAACATCACAAAATCCTGTCTCTACAAAAAATAAATCAGTCAGGTGTGGTGGCACAATTGTGTAGTCTCAGCTACTTGAGAGTCTAAGGCAGGAGGACCAAGCTCAGGAGGTCGAGGCTGCAGTGAACTATGATCACGCCACTGTACTCCAGCCTGGACAACAGAGCAAGATCCCATCTCACAAAACAAAACAAAACAAAACATGTGTGAAGTTCCTGCCAGACACTGTAGCAGGCACTGGGGATTCAGCAGAGCGAGACTGACCGGGCCCCAGATGCCTTGGAATTGACATACCACAGTGGGGCGGTGGCTGGGAGAGACAGATGCACAAAACAACCAACAAGATGCTTTCTCTTTTTTTCTTTTCTTTTCTTTTCTTTTTTTGAGACAGGGTCTTGCTCTGTTGCCCAGGCTGGAGTATAGTGGTGTGATCAGAACTCACTGTAGCCTCGACCTCCTGGGCTTAAGTGATCCTTCCACCTAAGCCTCCCGAGTAGCTGGGACTACAGGCATGCATCATCACACCCGGATAATTTTTGTAGTTTTTGTAAAGACAGAGTTTTGCCATGTTACCCAGGCTGGATTCAAACTCCTGGGCTCAAGCAATCTGCCCACCTCAGCCTCCCTAAGTGCTGGGATTACAGGTGTGAGCCACCATGCCAGGCCCAAACAGGATACTTTCTTTCTTTCTTTTTTTTTTTGAGACAGAGTCTCACTCTGTTGCCCAGGCTGGAGTGCAGTGGCGTGATCTCGGCTCACTGCAACCTCCGCCTCCTGGGTTCAAGCGATTCTCCTGCCTCAGCTTCCCAAATAGCTGGGATTGCACCCAGGTGTGCACCACCATGCCCGGCTAATTTTTGTATTTTAAGTAGAGACAGGGTTTTGTCATGTTAGCCTGGCTGGTCTCGAACTCCTGGTCTCAAGTGATCTGCCCACCTCAGCCTTCCAAAGTGCTGGGATTACAGGTATGAGCCACCGTGTTCTGCCCTAAACAGGATACTTTCTAATAACACTGGGTGCTATAGGACACTGGACCTCAGGTAGAGGGACCACAACTTCTAGTGAGAAGGAGGCAGCCAGGGAGCTGGGCAGAGGGCACTGCCAGTGCAAAGGCCCTGTGGGAGAAGAGCTGGTGAGTTTGAGGAATAGGGAGGAGGTCAGTGTGGTTGGAGTGGAGTGAGGCAGGGTGAGGGGAATAATGAGCAAGTTCAGGCTGGGAGGCCTGGAGAGCATTTATTCAGCAAGAACTTCTATTCCAGCAAATTTAGCAGAGAACTCAGTCCACACATCCCTATTGGGCCTAGAGAGTGGTCATGTCCAGAACCTGAACGTCTAGGTAGGGAAATTAATATCTGGTAAACTCCTATACGTACTTCAAAACCCACCATTTTTGTCCAGTGGGAGTTAAAAAGCCACAACATTTTCCCTAACCCCATCCCACCAGCTTTCCCAGAAGTCCACCCAGAGGAGGAGATGAGGTTCATTTAGCTCTTCTCCTGGCCCTCAGCACAGGCTCTTATTAGCTATTCAGTGGATTTTGGGACCGGGTGAGGTGGCTCAGTCCTGTAATCCCAGGACTTTGGGAGGCCGAGGCGGGCGGATCACTTAAGCCCAGGAGTTCGAGACCAGCCTAACCAACACGGTGGGACCCCATCTCTACAAAAAGTACAAAAAGTTAGCTGGGCATGGTGGTGCATGCATGTAGTCCCAGCTACTTAGGAGGTTGAGGTGGGAGGATCAGCTGAGCCTGGGAAGGTCGAGGCTGCAGTGAGCCGTGATCACACTACTACACTCCAGCCTGGGGGACAGAGTGAGACCCTGTCTCAAAAAAGTGGATGTTGGACAGAAAGGAGAGAAGGGAACCCAAAATACCTAGTGCCCTTCCTGTAGGACAGTCATCTGGTTGTCTGGACCGACAGGGACAGATTTAGGCTTGGTCCAAGCAAGAATGGCCCAAATTTCCAAAATTGAGAGCTGCTACCCTAAATGAGGTAGTGAGTTCCTGGTCTCCGGGAGGTGTGCAAGCTGAGCCCGGATACAGTTCACTGGGGATGCTGCAGGGGAGGTGATACCTTCCCTGGAAAAAGGTTGGTTGGACCAGGTGACCACCCCCCGAGCCCTGCCTCAAATCCCTCCCAGCCCTGAGAGTCTGGGTTTCTGCCCTGGCCCTGAGCACGGAGCCCGCCACCATCCACCCTGCCCCTGGCTTCCAGCCATGACCGGCTGCTTTGTCCTTGAAGGCAAGACCAGTATGAAGAGCTGAAGGACGAGGCCACCTCCTGCAGCCTCCACAGGTCGGCCCACAATGCCACGCACGCCACCTACACCTGTCACATGGACGTATTCCACTTCATGGCTGACGACATTTTCAGTGTCAACGTCACAGACCACTCTGGCAACTACACCCAGGAGTGTGGTAGCTTTCTCCTGGCTGACAGCAGTGAGTATCCTGGGACCCCGGGCTTAGGGTGGCGCTCAGTCTTAGCTCACCACAGCCCCGATCTCTTCAGGCTCAGGTGATCCTCCCACCTCAGCCTCCCATGTAGCTGGGACAACAGGTGTACGCCACTACGCCCAGATAATTTTTTTAGTAGGGACGGGGGTCTTGCCATGTTGCCCAGGCCAGTCTCGAATTCCTGGGCTCAAGTGATCCACCCGCCTTGGCCTCCCAAAGTGCCAGGATTATAGGTAGGGGCTGGGCCCCCCACTCCCTGCCCTCTGGGCCAGCTCTCCTCCTTCCACCAGATCTGACCTGGCCTATGTCCTCACCACACCTTAGAGTTCTATTTTGAGTTGCGCTATTTTTTACTAATGTGTGAAAGGTTGATACTAGGTTTGAGAGGTATGGAAGGAGCTAGGCTGGGACCCGGGACTTCTGGGTTCATGTTCCGGCTCAGCTCTGCCCATTTGTGTGACCATGGATGAGGCACACCTACCTCTGGGACAGCCTCCCTGTTTGTAGAGCAAGTGTCTTTTTTACCCTGACTCTCTGGGATCCCGACTCCATAATGAGGTGAATGGAGGACACTGAGTCACAGAAAAAAACCCTCCTGGGTTTTTTCCCCTTCATAAGCTCCAGGGAGGCCTGGAATTTCCCTCCAGGCTGGAGGTAGAGGGGCGTCCCAGGGGCAGGGGGGCCTGGTGGGTGGGAGCAGTTTTATCTGTGAGTTCAGAATTAGGTCAGGTGGCAGGGCGAGGTGGTTCACACCTGTAATTCCAACCCTTTGGGAGGCCGAGGCAGGAGGATTGCTTGAACCTGTGGCTTTGAGACCAGCCTGGGCAATATAGCGAGACCTCATCTCAGAACACAAAACAAGAACCAGGGCAGGGGCCAGGCGTAGTGGCTCATGCCTGTAATCTCAGCACTTTGGGAGGCTGAGGCAGGTGGATCATTTGAGGTCAGGAGTTCAAGACCAGCCTGGGCAACATGGTGAAACCCCCATCTCTACTAAAAATACAAAAAAATTAGCCAGGCATGGTGGTGCATGCCTGTAATCCCAGCTACTTGGGAGGCTGAGGCAGGAGAATTGTTTGAACCTGGGAGACGGAGGTTAAAATGAGCCAGGATCACCCCACTGCACTCCAGCCTGGGTGACAGAGCGAGACTCCGTCTCAAACAAAACAGAACTAGTGCAGGGCATGGAAGGACCTGGGAGGTGGCTTTGGCATGGTGTGTGTGTGTGTGTGTATGTGTATGTGTGTGTGTGTGTGTGTGTGTATGTGTACCCAAAGCAGCCCCAGAGGCAAACACAGGCTGCAAAGGGAGCCTGCTCTCGGGAAGGCCCTGCGTGCGAGCTCGGGAGTTTCTGCCCCTAGATTCCCAGCGGAGGGGCTGGGGTATAAGAGGTGTCTGTTTCACACTCTGGGGGTCCAGGTTTGCACCACTTTGCTGAGGGGGTGTCACACCACAGAGGGCGAGAGTGAAGCTTCACACACTCCCAGACACATGCACATTCATGCACATTCCCAGGGTCACAGACTCACGCACTCACAGACTCATAAATGCGCCCTCAAACCCACAGGTGTCTCCCCAGCCCCGGCCTGCATGGCGTGGACACAGAGGCCCACATTGTGTCTCTCTCTTGCTCTCTCTCTCTCTCTCATACACACTCACACATACATACACACACGCACACACACATGCACACACACACACCCATGCATACACATACACATACACACACATACACTCTCACATCACTCCCACATGGGCATACACACACACACGCACTCTCTCACACACGTGCACACTCACATGCACACACATATGCACTCACACACATGTGCACACACATGCACACACTCACACACTCTCACACATATACACTCACATCACACACACGGGCACACACATATGCACATACATGCACTCTCTCACACACATGCACACTCCCATGCACATGCATTCTCACACACATGCCCTTTCTCACACACACATGCACACACACATGCACAGACTCACACACACATCACGGGCACGCACATGCACACACTCACACACATGCGCTCTCACACACACGCATTATCTCACACAGGCACACACACACACACACACACACACTCACAGCCACACGGATCTGGGATCCAGGACACGAGGTTCTCTGCACACGCATGCACCATCTGGAGCAGGGGCCCCTCCGGGCTGAGTGAACTGAGGCAGGCAGCAGCCCCACCGCCCAGGCCACCCCACACCCCTCACCCCCACAGCTTCTCAGAAGCAGAGGAGAGCTCGGGGCAGAGAAGGGGGCCCTCCTTGCCACTTCTCTTGCAGCGTGAATCCAAGCATTTCTCTCTGGCGTTTCTCTCCCTGCCAGGATCTGCAGCTAGCCTGGGCCCAGCTGGGGCAGGAAGTGATTTTCTAACCACCTCCTGCTCAGGGTCCCTTCCTCCTCCTGGGTCCTGGGCCTCGCTGGGCTGAGCAGCCCCCCTTCATGACCCCCAGGCTCTGCAAACATCTCCCGAGTACCCATGGGGCAGTTCTCAGTACGCTCGTGTCTTCCGGGACTGATCCTCACCCAGGCCACACAGGGAAGCCCAGAGCCGGCCTCCACCTGCCCCGGGGAGGACAAAAGAGGGGTTAGAAACGATTTCAGTCAAAAACATCCTATCACTGGAACAGCAACAGCAACAACCCAGTGTTCACCGTGGCATTCTGTGAAACGTGCACCTCCGTCACCTCGGGGCGCGGTGGGAGCCCTCAGTGCGGGTTTCAGGATCACAGGCAGCCTTAGAGCTCCTTTCTGGAGGCCTTGAAAGGTTCATTTGTTAATTTGACAAATATATATATATATATATGTGTGTGTGTGTGTGTATATATATATATGTGTGTGTGTGTGTATATGTATATGTGTATATATATATATATATATAGAGAGAGAGAGAGAGAGAGAGAGCGCCAGGGTGTAGCTCTGTCCCCCAGGCTGGGGTGCAGTGGCATAATCACAGCTCATTGCAGCTTGGAACTCCTAGGCTCTAGCGATCCTCCCACTTCAGCCTCCTGAGTAGCTGGGACTACAGGTGCATATCACCATCCTGGCTAATTTTTAAATTTTTTGTAGAGCTGGGATCTTGCTGTGCTGTCTAGGCTGGTCTTGAACCCCTGGCCTCAAGCAATCCCCCCGCCTCAGCCTCCCAAAGTGCTGAAATTTTTGGCATGAGCCACCTTGCCCAGCCTAATTTGCTAAATGTTTACTGAGGGCCTATTGTGCCCCAGGCTGTGTTCCAGGAGCTGTGTGCACAGACTGAACCTGGAGGACAAAACCTCCGCCCCAAGGAGCTAAGAGCCCAGCGAGAGAGGCACGTGGTAAACAAAATCACAGGGTGAGAGGTGCAGAGTGCTGGATGGTGGCAGATTGAAAGTGGAGAAGGTGGCTGGGTGTGGTGGCTCACTTTGGGAGGTTGAGGTGGGTGGATCACTTGAGGTCAGAAGATCAAGACCAGTCTGGCCAACATGGGGAAACTCCTTCTCTACTGAAAATACAAAAATTAGCCAGGCGTGATGGTGCGCAGCTTCTTGGGAGGCTGAGGCTGTGGAATTACTTGAGCTCAGGAGGCAGAGGTTGCAGTGAGCCAAGATCATGCCACTGCACCCCAGCCTGGGTGACAGAGAGAAAGACTCTGTCTGAAAAAAAAAAAAAAAAAAGAAAGAAAGAAGAGAAAAAAAGAAGGGAGGGAGGGAGGGAGGGAGGGAGGAAGGAAGGAAGGAAGGAAGGAAGGAAGGAAGGAAGGAAGGAAGGAAAGAAATAAACAAGAAGAGAAAGTGGAGAAGGTGAGGGCAGAGGCCTGCAACTCCTCTCTGACACTAATAGACACTTGCCACTCAGTTCCTCTGAAGTTACCGCCTCCTGCTAAATAGCTTCATCCCTTTGAACAAGCCCCATGATACGGGAACTGGGCCCATTTTACAAGAGAGGAATTTGAGGCCCTTAACATATTGTGTTCTGCTCAAGTTCATGAAATGTCCTTCGAATGGAGCAAAAACAGAATGCCGGCTTTGACCTTCACCTGGAGGCCACCCATGAAAGCTTGCTGTTATGGCTGAGCTCTGCTCTTGCTGGGAGATGCTGAAAGATAGGGACCATCAGATTGGCCTCCCAGGGCCACTGTGGGGTGTCAAACTGCCCAGAGCAGGACAGCCAGGCAGGCTCTGAGTAAATGGCAGCCCTCACCATTAGCATTCATGCTAAGAAGAGTCTTCAACTGCCTGAAGTAGCTGGGGTTGAAAGAAAATGATACCATCATTTAGGAGAGAAATGGAAAAGGAATGGATTTGCCGGGACGCTGCTGAGAATATTTTTGGATGGGTTGCTAACTTTAAAACTTAAGATAGGCCAGGTGCAGTGGCTTGTACCTGCAATCCCAGGATTTTGGGAGGCTGAGGTGGGAGGATCACTTGAGGCCAGGAGTTTGAGACCAGCCTGGGCAAACATAGTGAGACCCCGTTTCTACAAAATAGACAAATAATTAGCCAGGTGTGGTAGCATCCACCTGTAGTCCCAGCTACTTGGGAGGCTGAGGTGGGAGGATGGCTTGAGCCCAGGAGGTCGAGGCTACAGGTGAGCTATGATCGCACCACTGCACTCCAGCTTGGGCAACATAGTGAGATCCTGTCTCTAGGGGGAAAAACCCTTGGAGATTTCACACGATAATTCCAAGGGTCTCCCGTTTCCCATTCTGCACCTCATATTGAAACTTGCCCTTCTGTACATAGAAAGCAGGGTTTCAGATTTCATGTGTATGTGTGCATGTGTGTGTGCATGCACGTGTGTGCACGTGTGCATGTGTGTGCATGCACATGTGTGTGCGTGTGTGTTGCAAGTGTGGGCATGCGTGTGGGTGTGCATGTGCACGTGCGTATGCGTGTGCATGTGTGTTTCCCTAGAAAACTTAGAAAAGCTGACCACCCTGTGCTGCTGGAGCCATTCACTTTTAACTCTTTTATTTCTTTTTTCTTTCTTTCTTTCTTTTTTTTTTTTTTGAGATGGAGTCTCTCTGTGTCACCCAGGCTGGAGTGCAGTGGTGCGATCTTGGCTCACGGCAAGCTCCGCCTCCCGGGTTCACGCCATTCTCCCGCCTCAGCCTCCTGAGTAGCTGGGACTACAGGCGCCGCCACCACGCCCGGCTAATTTTTGTATTTTCAGTAGAGACGGGGTTTCACCGTGTTAGCCAGGATGGTCTCGATCTCCTGACCTCGTGATCTACCCACCTCGGCCTCCCAAAGTGCTGGGATTACAGGCTTGAGCCACCGTGCCCGGCCCGACTCTTTTATTTCTTCACAGTCCCTAAAGCTGCTTCATCCCTCTCTGTGACCTGCCCGCCCCTGAGTTTGCAACCCTAATCTCTCAGGTCCCAGATGGATAAACTGAAGCCCAGAGTCGGTAGTACTTTGCCCAAAGTCACTCAGGGTTGTTTGTCTTCATCTCATCCATGATGGGTGAGGCACGGTGGCCGGGTGGGAGCAGGCAGGACTCCTTCCCATCATCAAATCCTTTTCACCTACAGCAAAATCTCACCCCATTTTCTTTTCCTGGGTTTTCCCACCAAGTCAAGCCGGCTCCCCCTTTCAACGTGACTGTGACCTTCTCAGGACAGTATAATATCTCCTGGCGCTCAGATTATGAAGACCCTGCTTTCTACATGCTGAAGGGCAAGCTTCAGTATGAGCTGCAGTACAGAAACCGGGGAGACCCCTGGGCTGTGGTGAGGAATGTGGGGATCAGTGCAGCTTTGTGGCGGGGGAGGGGAGAGGAGGGAGTGCAAGGGCATCCGGGTGGGAGAGATGGGCGAGTATCATCATTCATGGCCAAGAACAGAGACCAAGGGTGCGAGCATTCCCTTACAGCAGTCCCTCCTCCTCCCCTCACTTCTCCCCAAGGTAGGAGACCCCTGAATAATCTGTCTTGCCCAAACCTGTCTCCTTGGCTGTCAGCATGCCAAAGAGATTGTCCCTTCCCCAGACTCCACCCCAGGCCTAGTGTAGTCACAATAGAAGAAGTTTCAGAAAGGGGGCAATCTGGAAGCTTCCCAATTGCTTAGAATGGCCATAGTTGGAGAGTTTCAGAAGTATCAATGATTAAGAAGGTCCAGCCAGATGCAGTGGCTCACGCCTGTAATCCCAGCAATTTGGAAGGCTGAGGCGGGTGGATCTCTTGAGGTCAGGAGTTCGAGACCAGCCTGGGCAACATGGTGAAACTCCATTTCTACTAAAAATACAAAAATTATCCAGGCATGGTGACATGTACCTGTAACCCCAGCTACTCTGGAGGCTTAGGCAGGAGAATCGCTTGAATCCAGGAAGCGGAGGTTGCAGTGAGCTGGGATCACGCCATTGCACTCTAGCCTGGGCAACAGAGCAAGACTCGATCTCAAAAAAAAAAAAAAAAAATGTCCAGTGTTAGAGGCCCATTGTTTCAAACATGAAGGCTTTGAGAGATGTCCTTCCAGCCCACTATTTAGAATAGTCACAGGTGAGACCCTGTCTCTAAAAAATAAAAATAGTAATAATGATAGAACAGTCACAGCTGAAGAGTCCTAGAATTGTCCATCCTTTGGAATGGCCCCAGCTGGAGATGGCCATGAGTGCCATACTTTAGAAAGTCCCCAGTGGAAGACTTCCAGAGGTATCCATTGCTAAGATGTCTGTAGTTAAAAGAGTTCCAGAAACGCCCACTATTAGGAATGTCAGTATGTCAACTCTTGGAATTCTTCAACAGTTGAGGACATTCTCAACTGATGTACTGAGACTTATATCGATACATCAGTTGAGAATGTCCTCAACTGTTGAAGAATTCCAAAAGTATGCATTGCCTGGAGTGCCGTCAGACCATTCCCACTCCTGAGGTATGCCCAGTCCTGCAGGAAGAGTCCACTGCCAGGATTGTGAGTGGCTGAATTGGATCAAAGAGAAATCAAACAGAGCATCCTATCACATGCAAGGGCCAGGCAGTGCTGGCAAGTCTGTGCTCCCCATGCCTGAGTCCAGCTACTCAGGCATAGGCTTGATTCTTGTGGGAAGAGAAGAGACACTCAGGCCCTTTGATGGAAGCTGGGAAAAGAGGTGGCTCTGCTGGAGGCGGGGGCTGGCCTGGTTTAACCCTGACCTGGTGCATCCTTTCCTTGTACTGGCAGAGTCCGAGGAGAAAGCTGATCTCAGTGGACTCAAGAAGTGTCTCCCTCCTCCCCCTGGAGTTCCGCAAAGACTCGAGCTATGAGCTGCAGGTGCGGGCAGGGCCCATGCCTGGCTCTTCCTACCAGGGGACCTGGAGTGAGTGGAGTGATCCGGTCATCTTTCAGACCCAGTCAGAGGGTAGGTGTGAAGCTGGGATGGACACCCCACTCCTGGTACGAAATCTTGTCCTGGTCTAGCCACCCTAAGCCCTGAGCTTCCTGGCACAGCTAGGAGGTATTCAGTTGTTCATCCTCAGATGTAGCCCTTCAATGACATTTCTAGAGCCCCTCCTGGCCAGGCCCTGTGTTGGGTGCTAGCTGCTTCTTCTGTTAGGCATTTGATCCTCCTAACTCTGAAGTGGGAATCAGCCCTGTTTTTCAGATGAGATAACTGAGGCTCAGATAAATGAAGTTACTTGCCTGGGGTGAGGAATGAGAACAAGATTTGAACCCAGATCCATCTTACTTCAAGACACTAGAAGTAGCAGCCTCTCCCACCCCCTTCTACTCTACCCCAGACCCATTTCCCACCATGCCTACCCCATGTGGCCTCTGGTAGAGTTGGTGCCATTTAACCCTTTCTTTGCTTCCTTCCCAGAGTTAAAGGAAGGCTGGAACCCTCACCTGCTGCTTCTCCTCCTGCTTGTCATAGTCTTCATTCCTGCCTTCTGGAGCCTGAAGACCCACCCAATGTGGAGGTGAGGCCAGGGGATCAGGAAGGCAGGAAGGTGGTCGGCATGGGCCACTGCCCATCTATGACCCACCCAGGGTTGGAGAACATGCCTGTCAGCATGGTAACAATGATGACAGTGGAATAATAACCAACTCACAGCCACTGTGTGCTGGACACTGTGGAGGGCACTCCCTTCACCCCCATGGCAGCCCTATGAGCATGAGACACTTCAGTTGCCCATATTTTATAAATGAGGAAACTGAGGCATGGAAAGGTCAAGGAATTTGTCCAAAGTCACACAGCTCCCAAGTGGAGAAATTGGGATTGAAACTCTGTCCTTAAACAGAGACCTCAGCTGTGGTCTTGTCCAGTGGGTTTTAAGTTTTGAGGCTCAAGGGGCATCAGGGGCCACTAGGTGGTGGTGAAGAGGTGGCTGTAATACTCCACACCTCTGCAATGGCCTCTGTGCGCACCCCTGGTTGCCGATGAAGAAGTTGAAGCTTAGAAGGGGCAACATTTGCCCAGCACACAACAGGCATCCAAGAACATAATCTAAATATCCCTTCAGGAGCCTGCGATGGAGACTCACTGCTCCCATTTTACAGATGGGGAAACCAAGCCCCAGGGAAGGAGGGAGGCGCCTGGGCTGTGTCTTGTGATGCTTGGAAGTTCCTGTAGGATGAAGCTGGGGAGCATCCGAATGGGAGGCCAGGCTGCCGTCTGGTGATGTCAGGGTCCTCACCCCTCTCTGCCCCCTCAGGCTATGGAAGAAGATATGGGCCGTCCCCAGCCCCGAGCAGTTCTTCGTGCCCCTGTACAAGGGCTGCAGCGGAGACTTCAAGGTGAGCTCCCCACCCTGTGACGAGCTCCTCTGAGCCCCTCCTCCTCTTCAGGAGCCTCACCTCTCCTCACTCCAGGCTCCCCAGCCTTACCCCACAGGCCTAGAGCATCCAGGTCTCAGCCACGCCACAAGCCAGGCCTCAATTTCCCAACGTGCAAAGTGTAGACATTCTTGTAGTGCAGAATTGGCAGAAGAATTAAACAAGATTTGACCAGGTGTAGTGGCTCACGTCTGCAATCCCAACAGTTTGGGAGGCCAAAGCAGGTGGACTGTTTGAGGCCAGGAGCTCCAGAACAGCCTGGGCAACACAGGGAGACCCCCACCACCACTCCACCTCCCCGTCTCTACCAAAACTTTTAAAATCATTCAAGCGAGGTGGTGCACGCCTGTAGTCCCAGCTACTCAGGAGGCTGAGGCAGGAGAATCGTTCACAGGCTGCAGTGAGCTATGATCACACCACTGCACTCCAGCCTGGCCAACAGACAGAGACCCTATCTAAAAAAAAAAAAAAATCAAAAACAAAGAGTAAACAAAATAATGCAGAATTGACCCAGCCCAAGGAGCCAGACTGGGAGAGGGGGTGAGGCTGGTGGTCTTTTGAGTCACAGATTGCCCCCGTGGTCCTTTCTTAGGTGCCCTTAACCTGGGTTGGAGAGGGAGTGGGTTCTGGGAAGGGTCTGGCCCCAACGTTCACCAAGCCTCCAACTCGCCACCTCCCGCCAGCACCCACAGGTTGTCTGTGCCCATTTACAGCCCTGTCACCCACCCTGCAGCAGTGGGAGGGGCTGCCGCAGAGAGGATGTGGTGAAAGAGGTGGGAGGGGCAGCCCCACCTGCTGCAGCTGAGCCTGAAAGTCAGACAGTGCAGACCTAGAGCATTGATTGAGCTCCTGCTGTCTGCCTGGCGCTGCGCTGGACACCCTTCCTGCCTCACTCATTCTCATATTCACAGCAGCCCCTGCGGAGCGGATGTTCTACTGCCCCCAGGGCACCCACGAGGAGGCCAAAGCTCAGAGTGGGCAGAGAGGAACCTGGACTCTCACCCACATAAGACCCACCCTTATTTTGGGTTGATTTTTACCAATACTCCTATAGCACTTGCCATATACCAGGCAGTCCCCTAGGAGCATCACAAACAGTGACTTATTTAACTCTCACGATGACTCTATGGATGGGTGCTATTATTAGGTCCATTTTACAGATGAGGAAACTGAGGCACCGAGAGGGTAAGTAATGGGCTTAAGGGCACACAGCTGAGAAGTGACTTTAAATCAGTGGTGGTAGTCACATCACAGTTCTGAGATGAGTTTTTGAGGAAGATGAGCTCAAAACAGGGAGATTCCCATTCTCTGGGATTTTCCTTGCCAATTGCATGAGGATTCTGGTGTCATGAGTGGGAGTCTGGACAGGGAAGGGAAGGGGAGGGTCCTTCAAGTTTAAGGGCCACCGCCTCAGCCAGCATCACTCACATCCTTTATCCTCAAAGTATACAAAGGCCTTTCCAAGTGGCTTTTCACTGATCCACTCCACTCATTCATTTTATTAATAGACATTTATTGAGCACCTACTGTGTGCTAGGTACTGGGGCTACAACCATGGACAGAAGAGACAAGACTTATGCCCGGGGGCCAAGTTTCTGTCTGGTGGTGACACATAAACCAGGAGAGTGCTAGGTTTCAAGAAGCATCAAGGAGGGAAAGCAGGAGATGGCTCAGGGGTACCTCAGACGTCAGGCCCTCCTGCCCCCATGTCTCCTTGACTCAGGAATCTTGGCCCCTGCTTGGGCTATGGGACCACCAGTTGGCTGAGTGATCACACTACTAAAGGTAGCAACTCCCTTCTACAAGTAGGGAAACTGAGGCGCAGAGTAGGAAGGGGACACCAGTGGGGCCCCCACTAGGGTCGGAGCACATCACGGTCCTGATTCCTCACTCTCTCTCTCTGTCTCTCAGTGTCTTTGTCTATCTTCACGTCTCTGTCTTTCTCTCTCGATGTCTCTTTGTCTTGTCTCTGTGTCTGTGTCTGTCTTTCTGTCTGTTTAAACCCTCACCTTGGCTGGGCGCGGTGGCTCACACCTATAATCCCAGCACTTTCGGAGGCTGAGGCGGGTGGATCACCTGAAGGCAGGAGTTCAAGACCAGTCTGGCCAACATGGTGAAACCCCATCTCTATTAAAAATACAAAAATTAGCCGGGTGTGGTGACAGGCGCCTGTAGTCCCAGCTACTTGGGAGGTTTAGGCAGGAGAATCACTTGAACCTGGGAGGCAGAGGTTGCAGTGAGCCGAGATGGTACCACTGCACTCCAACCTGGGCGACAGAGCCAGATTGTCTCAAAAGAATAAAAGTAAAAAAATAAATAAACCCTCACCTTACCCTCATCCTGTGCTAAGACTCTCTCTCTTTTTCTCTTTCACAGAAGTGGGTCGGTGCTCCCTTCACTGGCTCCAGGCTGGAGTTGGGACCCTGGAGCCCAGAAGTGCCCTCAGCCCTGGAGGTGTACAGCTGCCACCCACCACAGAGCCCCGCCAAGAGGCTGCAGCTCACGGAGCTACAAGAACCAACAGAGCTGGTGGAGTCTGACCCCGTGTCCAAGCCCAGCTTCTGGGCGACGGCCCAGAACTCAGGAGGCTCAGCTTACAGTGAGGAGAGGGACCGGCCGTACGGCGTGGTGTCCATCGATACAGTGACTGTGCTAGATGCAGAGGGGCCATGCACCTGGCCCTGCAGCTGTGAGGATGACGGCTACCCAGCCCTGGACCTGGACGCTGGCCTGGAGCCCAGCCCAGGCCTAGAGGATCCACTCTTGGGCGCGGGAACCACAGTCCTCTCCTGTGGCTGTGTCTCAGCTGGCAGCCCTGGGCTAGGAGGACCCCTGGGAAGCCTCCTGGACAGACTAAAGCCACCCCTTGCAGATGGGGAGGACTGGGCTGGGGGACTGCCCTGGGGTGGCCGGTCGCCCGGAGGGGTCTCAGAGAGTGAGGCGGGCTCACCCCCGGCTGGCCTGGATATGGACACGTTTGACAGTGGCTTCGTGGGCTCTGAGTGCAGCAGCCCTGTGGAGTGTGACTTCACCACCCCCGGGGACGAAGGGCCCCCCCGGAGCTACCTCCGCCAGTGGGTGGTCATTCCCCCGCCACTTTCGAGCCCTGGACCCCAGGCCAGCTAGTGCGGCTGACTGGCTGTCCAGAGCTGGCCAGGCCACTTGAGCTATGATGTGAAGACACATGTAGCCTTTGGTCTCCTGGATGGGCCTTTGAGCCTGATGTTTACAGTGTGTGTATGTGTGTGCGCGCACGTGCACGTGCATATGCGTGCGTGTGTGTGCATATGCGTGTGTGTGTGCATATGCGTGCGTGTGTGTGCATATGCGTGCGTGTGTGTGTGTCTTAGGTGCGCAGTGGCACGTCCACCTGTGTGTGTGATTGCATGTGCCTGTGGGCCTGGAATAATGCCTGTGGTACTCCATACATTCACCTGCCCTGTACATATCTGGGCCCACGGAGCTCACCCATGTGCACGAGTGTGCACAGAAAACATGTCTGTGGTCAACAGATGACAACAGTCATCTTCCCTTCTAGGGTCTTGTGTTGCAAGCTGGTCCACAGTACCTCCGGGGCTTTGTGGGATCAGGGCATTGTGTGACAGAGGCCGAGTCCAGCCCTCCAGCTTCTGCCTCCAGGAGCTGCAAGAAGTCCACGTTGTTCCTTATCACCTGCCAGCAGGAAGGGAAAGGGGATGGAGTGAGCCCACAGTGACCCCGGGAATGGGAAGATTTTGGGTGGCCCATGGATGAAGGTCTGAATACCGACTCTGATACCTTCTGGCTGTGCTACCTGAGCCAAGTCGCCGCCCCTCTCTGGTCTAGAGTTTCCTTGTCCGGACAATGGGGAAGGCATGACCCACCTGGGGGAAATTGGCAATGTCACCCATGTACAGTACACAGCCCAGAGCAGACCCTCAATAAACGTCAGCTTCCTTCCTTCTGTGGCCAGAGCCGAGGCGGGCGGGGGTGAGAACATCAATCGTCAGTGACAGCCTGGGTGCCCGAGGGGCCATCCCACTTGCAGAGGGCCACTCAGGGGGATTTCCAGGCTTAAAATCAGTCTGTTTCATCTCGTGGAAACAGCTCCCCACCAACCAAGATTTCTTTTTCTAACTTCTGCTACTAAGTTTTAAAAAATTCCCTTTATGCGCTCAAGAGATATTTGTTAAACACCAATTACATAGCAGGCCAAGGCTCATGGGACCCTTCCCCCGTGGCATTCATGGAGGGAGGGTGCAGGCCAGAACCATGCAGTGTGCTCCAGCCACACGTCCTGCTGGGCCCCCCACCCCGCCCCAGTTCAGTCCTGCATCTTACTTGTTCATCCTGGATAACTGAAGGGAGGTCAAGTTTTTTGTCATTGATTTGTCAGAGAACCTGTTGAAGTGTGAATTAAGAAGCTAAGAAAATACTTCTTAGCAACATTTTCTTTTTCTTTTTTTTTTCTTTTGAGACAGAGTCTCACTCTTGTCGCCCAGGCTGGAGTGCAGTGGTGCACTCTCGGCTCACTGGAAACTCTTGTCTCCCCGGTTCAAGCGATTCTCCTTCGTCAGCCCCCCGGGTAGCTGGAATTACAGGCACCCACCACTACACCTGGCTAATTTTTGTATTTTTAACAGAGCTGGGGCCACCCTGGCCCGGCCTCGTCTTCCCCAAAGGTCAGACTGCAGGCTGCAGGGCCGCGCTGGAGGAGCCGGCTCTGGCTCTCTCATGCTTTTGGAGCAGGGTTGCGTTGGAAGTCAGCAGAAGTCGGTCCTGCTGAAGGCTCCTTCATTTCTCGTCTGTGAAATGGGGTGGCTGGGAGAGGTAGCTGAGAGAATGCATGAGAGTCCTTGGTGCCTGGCCGGAGGCTGGAGGGTTTTAGAACACTGATGGTTATAAGAGTGGGACTGCGAGCCTGGGATCCAGGGGTGTGAGACTTGGACGGGAGCCCAAGAGTAGAAGCACAGCTTCTGCACGGTGGGGGCAGCCCTCAGCACCCCCTGCACCTGCACCCTAGGGACTCTTGGGTCCAGATGTGCTGTGGTTTTCACACCTTCTTGGGGGCAACAGGTTCCAGGAGCCACCTGCAGGTGTCACCTGAGCCCCAGGCTCCCAGGAAACCAGCGCAGCTCTCCTGCACCCAGAGCTTGCTGGGTGGGGGAGGGGAACACAGATGGCTGGGGAGGGCCTGACTGAGGCCAGACTGGGGGGCTCTGGACTGGGGCAGACGAGGCTTCTCAGGATCCCACCTTTGAAGGGAACTCAGTCCATAAACACAGAGGAGCAAAGTTGGAGGCCAGGCGCAGTGGCTCACACCTGTGATCCCAGCACTTTGGGAGGCCAAGGCAGGTGGATCACTTGAGGCCAGGAGTCCAAGACCAGCCTGGGCAACATAGCAAGGCCCCAACTCTACAAAAATTATTATTTTTTAAAAAAATTAGCCGGGCGTGGTGGTGCTTGCCTGTAGTCCCAGCTGCTCAGAACGCTAAGGTGGGAGGATCGCTGGAGCCCAGGAGTTTGAGGCTGCAGTGAGCTGTGTGATTGCACCGTTGCACTCCAGCCTGGGTCACAGATCAAGACCCTGTCTCTTAAAAATAAAAGTTGGAGACGAGAGCTGGCTCATCACCTGAAAGGACGGATTAGTAGGTAGGAGGGTGGGTGGAGGATGGTTGAATGTGTGGATGGATAGGAGGATGGTATTAAGTTGGTGCCAAAGTCTTTGCTATTACTCTTAATGGCTTTAATAAAGAACTTGAAGGAAGAACGGTTGGTTGGATAGACAGAGATAAACGCATACTGGAAACAAAGTAAAGATAAAACACAAGTCATACCAGGCCAGCAACTCTGTCTATTTTGTTCACTTTGTCTATGTCTTATTTGTTCATCCTGGATAACTGAAGGGAGGTCAAGTTTTTGTGATTGATTTGTCAGAGAACCTGTTGAAGTGTGAATTAAGAAGCTAAGAAAATACTTCTTAGCAACATTTTCTTTTTCTTTTTTTTTTCTTTTGAGACAGAGCCTCACTCTTGTCGCCCAGGCTGGAGTGCAGTGGTGCAATCTCGGCTCACTGCAAACTCTGTCTCCCCGGTTCAAGCGATTCTCCTTCTTTAGTCTCAGCCTGGCACATAGTAGGCACTCAATAAAGCCTGATTTGTAGCATTTGCTTATTTCCATGGTGTAATTTAATGCTCCTGATTTGAGTCTAAACACAGAGTTGGGAAGAGATATGCACAGTCCGCTCTCTTGGCTGGTATGAGTGAGGCCCAGCTCACTTACCGATGGTAGCCCAAAGAGAACATCAAGAGGAGCAGGGGGCTTCAGGGAGGAGGTGGTGTTGGTTGGACTTTGAAAAATGAATAGAAGTCTGGGAGTGGTGGCTCATGACTGTAATCCTAGCACTTTGGGAGGCCGAGGTGGGCAGACCATTTGAGGTCAGGAGTTCGACACCAGCCTGGGCAACATGGTGAAACCCAGTCTCTACTAAAAATACAAAAATTAGCTGGGTGTGGTGGTGCATGCCTGTAATCCCAGATACTCAGGAGGCTGAGGCAGGAGAATCTGGAAGACGGAGGTTGCAGCGAGCAGAGATTGCACCACTGTACTCCAGCCTGGGTGACAGAGTGAGACTACATCTCAAAAAAAAAAAAAAAAAAAAAAAGAAAAAAGAAAAATGAATAGGAGTTTTAGATGTACCAGCTAGTTGGGGCAGAGGGAAGAGCTTGGACAAAGGCCTGGAGGTATGACCAAGGGTCAGGAGCAAGAAGGACGGGGGTGGCTCCTTGCCCTCCAAAGACCAGGCCAGAATTGCTGACAAGCCTCACTTAAGAGGAAGGGGGACCAATAGCAACATCACTTTGCCAGCTGCCGCATTCCTCACCTTGCAAGCTCTGAGGGGCAGAGTCATCCATTTGACAGATGAAATGAAGGCACACCTCAGGCTGGTCACCTGCCTGAGGTCACACACTGAATGAGTGGTCAGAGTTGGAACCAGAACCCTGGGCTCCTGATGCCAATTTCAGCTCTTTTTCACCTTGCCCTGCTGGAAAGTACCTAGATTAAGAGGTGAGGAAGGTTTAGCAGACCCCTGTGGGTGCCTGTTGCATCTGCCTGTGCAGAAGTTTGGAGATGTGGCCGACCCCAGATCTGCGAGTGGCTACGTGACCCAGGCCTGCCCAATAGGACATTTCTTCCCCCTGGCAACAGTACAGTTTAAGGACAGACATACCCTAGCTGGTCCATACTCTCTTTCTGCTTGGATTACTAAGCTGTAAGGAGGGTACTGGGAGGGGCAGCTAGAAACACACAAGAAAGCAGAGCTGAGAGATGGAGACATAGTCCCAGTAATAGCTCTTGAGATGCTGGATCCAGCCATGCCTGAAACCATGTTTCTCCTGGACTGTTTAGATACATGAGTATGTAAGTCATTACGCTATTCACCAAATATTTCCAGCTTTTGGCCTTCGGGGCACATGGCAGGGTTGTACCTCCTGACCCTCTGTAGCCAGATGGGGCCATGTGACTGGCTGGGACTGGGCAGTTGTGAGCAGAAGTGATAAGTCTCACTTCTGGGCAGAGCATTTTTCAGATGGCTGCCACTCCCCCTAGGGGGTTTTTCCTCGCTGTCACAGAGACGGATGATGATGGTGACTGCTCCATCTGCCTGGGCACCTGGGCCCTTGAGTGAGGAGATACAGACTGAAGTTTCAGTTCACCTGTGATAGACAAGTGTCGTGAGCAAGAAATCAATCCTTTGTTGTTCTAAGATGGGGTTGTTTCCTACCACAGCGTAATCCTGCCTACCCTAGTTGAATCAGTGAGTTGATAAGTTTCCTTTTTATGCTTAAGCTGGTTTGAGGTGGGTTTCTGTCCCTTGCAGCAGAAAGTGTTCTAGCATTATTCTGATATTATCCCCACAGTAAGGACTCTGCTTCCAATCTAAGGAAGGACCCTGTATTAGTCCTTGTGTCACTATAAAGAACTACCAGGCTGGGCTGGGATCACGCCTATAATCCCACCACTTTGGGAGGCCGAGGCAGGCGGATTCCTTGAGGCCAGGAGTTCAAGACCAGCCTGGCCAACATGGCAAAACTCCGTCTCTACTAAAAATACAAAAATTAGTCCGGCATGGTGGCACATGCCTGTAATTCCAGCTACTCAGGAGGCTGAGACACGAGGATCGCTTGAATCTGGGAGGCAGAGGTTGCAGTGAGCTGAGATGGTGCCACTGCACTCCAATGTGAGTGACAGAGAGATCCTGTCTCAAAAAATAAAAGTAAAAAAGAGAAATATCAGGGACTAGGTAATTTACAAAGAAGCTTAATTGGCTCACAGTTCTGCAGGCTGTGCAGGAAGCATGGCACCAGCATTTATTCTGGGTGAGGCCTCAGGCAGCTTCCAATCATAGCGGAAGGTGAAGGGGGAGCCTGTGTGTCACCTGGCAAGATCTGGAGGAAGACAGCAAAGTGGGAGGTCCCAGACTCTTTTAAACAACCAGATCGCCGGGCATGGTGGCTCACGTGTGTAATCCCAGCACTTTGGGAGGCCGAGGTGGGCGGATCACCTGAGGTCAGGAGATTGAGACCAGCCTGAGCAATATGGTGAAACCCCATCGCTACTAAAAAAAAATACAAAAATCAGCCGGGCTTGGTGGTGTGTGCCTGTAGTCCCAGCTGCTTGGGAGGCTGAGACAGGACAATTGCTTGAACCCAGGAGGCAGAGGTTACAGTGAGCCGAGTTCCCACCACTGAACTCCAGCCCGGGCAACACAGCAAGACTTCGTCTCAAAAAAACCCCAGATCTCCCATGAAGTGACTGAGTGAGAACTCACTCATCACCAAGGGAATGGTGCTAAGCTGTTCAGGATCCAATCACCTCCCCACAGGCCTCACCTCCAACATTGAGAATCACAGTATCAACATGAGATTTGGAGGGGACAAACAGCCAAACCACATCAC